ATTCTGCCATAAAGCCTCAACAACCCAGCAGTGAGAAACACTGACAGTAACAACAGCACATTCAGAGGCTGCTGACAACAGTAACAACAGTACATCAGAGTCTGCTGACAACAGTACATCAGAGGCTGCTGACAACAGTACATCAGAGGCTGCTGACAACAGTAACAACAGTACATCAGAGGCTGCTGACAACAGTAACAGTACATCAGAGGCTCCTGACAACAGTACATCAGAGGCTGCTGACACATCTCTCACATCCTCTTGCTTCATCTCTTCCCAAAATTAGTCACAGTTTTGGAAATACACTGTAGCAAGCTGGCGAAAGTTGGTGGTACACTGGGCTATGTTGAAGCACTTGGTGGTACCCTGGGCTATGTTGAAGCACTTGGTGGTACCCTGGGCTATGTTGAAGCACTTGGTGGTACCCTGGGCTATGTTGAAGCACTTGGTGGTACCCTGGGCTATGTTGAAGCACTTGGTGGTACCCTGGGCTATGTTGAAGCACTTGGTGGTACCCTGGGCTAGTTGAACACTTGGTGGTACCCTGGGCATGTTCAAAGAACACTGTAGGTCACCCTGGCTAAATGTTGAAGCACTTGGTGGTACCCTGGGCTATGTTGAAGCATTTGAGCAAGACCTACAGCTGGGCAAACTAACTATGAAAGTAGAAGAACACCACTGGTTAGATAACTAGCAAGAAGAAGCAACGTTTACTATCAACTGGTCTAACTAGCTCAACTAACCTACCCTGAACATATAATAATCTGGCCAATGAGGCAATTATAAGGAGCTTAAATAATTAACATGAATCACGTTAGCAATAACATTGGTATAGTAACTAGGCAAGAATAATGAGGTGTTGTAAAGAAACTAGGATAATAAGGTACTATAACGGGGCTAGATTAATGAGGTATTATATAGGGGCTAGGCCAATGAGGCATTATATAGGGGCTAGGCCAATGAGGCATTATATAGGGGCTAGGCCAATGAGGCATTATATAGGGGCTAGGCCAATGAGGTATTAATAGGGCAGGCCAATGAGGAAATTATATAGGGGCTAGGCCAATGAGGCATTATATAGGGCTAGGCCAATGAGGCATTATATAGGGGCTAGGCCAATGAGGCATTATATAGGGGCTAGGCCAATGAGGCATTATATAGGGGCTAGGCCAATGAGGCATTATATGGGGGCTGGGCCCAAATAAAGGCATTATATAGGGGCTGGGGCCAATGAGGCATTAATAGGGGCTAGGCCAATGAGGCATTATATAGGGGCTAGGCCAATTGAGGCATTATATAGGGGTAGGCCCAATGAGGCTTTATATAGGGGCTAGGCCAATGAGGCATTATATGGGGGCTAGGCCAATGAGGCATTATAAGGAGTTAGGCCAATGAGCATTATATAGGGCTAGGCCAATGAGGCATTATATAGGGGGCTAGGCCAATGAGGTATTATATAGGGCAAGGCCAATGAGGCATTATAAGGGGCTGGGCCAATGAGGCATTATATAGGGGCTAGGCCAATGGGGTATTATATAGGGCTAGGCCAATGAGGTTTTTATATAGGGGCTAGGCCAATGAGGCATTATATAGGGCTAGGCCAATGAGGTATTATATGGGGGCTAGGCCAATGAGGCATTATATAGGGCTGGGCCCAATGAGGTTTTAAATATAGGGGCTAGGCCAATGAGGCATTATATAGGGGCTAGGCCAATGAGGTATTATATAGGGGCTAGGCCAATGAGGCATTATATAGGGGCTAGGCCAATGAGGCATTATATAGGGGCTAGGCCAATGGGGCTTATTAGGGCTAGGCCAATGAGGCATTATATAGGGGCTAGGCCAATGAGGCATTATATAGGGGCTAGGACAATGAGGTATTATAATGAGGCTAGGCTAATGAGGTATTCATTCAAGAGGCGCTATATCTGGTGTGTCAAACCCGTCCTCGAGTACGTAGCACCAGCGTGGAGCCAAGGGTTAGTGGAGACATGATCATTGCGTGAGAGATACTCATGGGCGCTGAATGGGTGGACAATGGGAGGGTCATACGAAAGATGAGAACAAGGAGAGCCTCAGTTCACAGGTGGTGAGAATGAGCAGGTACCAGCTGTACTGCAGGTTGATGTTGATACTAGGATGGGGTTCCTGAATTAGTAGTAACATAAAAGTTATTAACTCTGGATAACACATGAAAAGTAAGCAAGTCAGTTCCTGACCAGCCGGGATGTAGTTCGTACGCTGTACTACGTGGGGACCGAAAGGTGGCTCTCTCTCTCTCTCTCTCTCTCTCTCTCTCTCTCTCTCCCCTCTCTTCTCTCTCTCTCTCTCCTCTCTCTCCTCCCTCTCCCTCCTTCTCCCCCTCTCTCTCCCCCTCTCTCTCTCTCCCTTTAATGACTCAATAAAGTAAGGTAAGAGCCAGTAAGACATGACACATGTGGACGCCACACTCAAGTCACTGGGGAAGCCATCTCAATAAGATCAAATTACCCAGACGTGATACTTGTGAGACTTCTTTCTTCCCTCATGATGGTCTTCCACACAAATTCATCACGTAGCTCACCTTTCCCATTGCCTGCTACATCTCTCCCCAATGGAAATAAGTCACTGTCTGACTTTTTTGGGTTATCCCAGGTTCTCTACACATATGCTGCTATGTATGATAATTCTATGTAACTGTATTTGTGTATACCTGAATAAACTTACTTACTTACCTGGAGTTTACCTGGAGAGAGTTCCGGGGGTCAACCTCCCTCGAACCCTCCCTCGAACCTTCAGTTTCTTGACCTTATAAACCCCTCCCTCGAACCTTCAGTTTCTTGACCTTATAAACCCCTCCCTCGAACCTTCAGTTTCTTGACCTTATAAACCCCTCCCTCGAACCTTCAGTTTCTTGACCTTATAAACCCCTCCCTCGAACCTTCAGTTTCTTGACCTTAAAAAACCCCTCCCTCGAACCTTCAGTTTCTTGACCTTATAAACCCCTCCCTCGAACCTTCAGTTTCTTGACCTTATAAACCCCTCCCTCGAACCTTCATTTTTCTTGACCTTATAAACCCCTCCCTCGAACCTTCAGTTTCTTGACCTTATAAACCCCTCCCTCGAACCTTCAGTTTCTTGACCTTATAAACCCCTCCCTCGAACCTTCAGTTTCTTGACCTTATAAACCCCTCCCTCGAACCTTCAATTCTTTATCCTATACACTCCACTTCGTAGCTTGTAGGTGTCTTCAGATATAGGTTAGATGGGTATACAAGTGGGTTTGGGTGCCAGTTCAACCTACGTAGTATGAACCAATAGGCCTACTGTAGTGTTCCTTCAGTCTTATGTTCCCATTTCTCGTACCTTATCCCTACCTTCCCTCCCTCAGTCTGCTATCTCACGTTCTCTCCCTCACTCCTCTGACCGCCACCTGGGGTAGGGGCGCCACCTGGGGTAGGGGGGCCACCTGGGGTTGGGGAGCCACCTGGGTTTATTACCTTTTGCAAGATAACCAGCACCATTAGGTAAGTGGCGCCTCCTTAAAGGTACTCTACTGCACCACTTGTTCTCTGAAATATGTGCACTGAACCTTGTCTTGTGTCCCTACACTCTGCCCTGCCAGAGCAGGGGCAGAAGGTGCCCTCAGAAGACGACCACATGCTAGGAATGACCCAGGGACGAGTCAGAAATTAAAGGAATATTTTAAACAGAAATGAAAACCATTCTTGCACCGCACCTGCTGGTGTGAAAGTGAACTAAAGCGAGGAAAAGAAAGTAGGGGAGGGAACATGAGAATGGAGCACTGCAGAAGGCCTACTGGCCCATACAAGGCAAGCCCTTATCAAAACGACCCCTACCCAAAGCTACTCAAAATGAAGGAAAGAAGAGAATGGAGAGTACAGGAGGGAGAACGAGGGATGGAAAGTATGGAGGGGTGAACTGGGAAAGACAAACGTTTTAAGATATTCACTTCGAAGGTCCGAAGCCTATACGCGTCGCATCATCCTGAAGTGAACACACTGAAAATAATAAGGGTGATACGAGATTGGAAAAGACAATTATGTACACTTCAGGGACATTACAAGGAAGCGTTTTGCCACGGGAGTGGGCTCCTTCAGTAGTAGTATAGATAAGTAAAAACCGAGCAATATAGTGGCGGGATGTGATGAATTAAGTGTCTCAATCTTCATTGTGGCAGGCGTCAGGGGAACCTATGAGAGGGTAGTAGTAACAGTGTAGCTCAAATCCTGGCAAAACGGCGTGGACATTCCTTCTTATAAATGCCCTATAAACTTGTACACAAAGTGTCTTTTTTCCACATACGACCATAAAGACTTGCACCACCGTGAAGTAAGTACCATTCAAGTCCAAATATCTGACACGCCATTGCGATAATAAACTCCATCTAAGCCATTTAAATCTTCACTCACACGGCCTTTAAAGTCAACACAATTAACAAAATTATTTTGCAGATCCTGCATTCTCTCATAGAATCGTTATCAATAGCAGGTTATGTGTGGAGGCGAGAGATGGGATACAACAGGGAGGTGCTGGTGTGGTCATCCTCAGATGGCACAGAAGGGTGGAGTAGTAAGGGCGTAGGGAAGCAGAGATATCTGTAAACCTTTGTTATCTACAGTACTATGTACAGACGTGTGTGTGGGAGTGTCTTACACTCTCTATTCCACTACCTCTTTTTCCTCCTCCCTTCCCATTCTCTCTCTCTCTCTCTCTCTCCTATCTTCATCTGTTATTTCTCATTCAGGTCAGCAACCAGAGTTATTGCTTTTCTCTAAGAGCCAGATAATGCTGGATGTTGACAGCTGGTTTTGCAATCTTTAATAGAGTAATGAACAGGCAAAAGACTAATGGAAATCGTTATTGGAACCCGACAAGTTTAGACAGAGCCACTGTGCAACATCCAGGCCTGTGAATTCTTCAGTCCAATACAGAGAAAACAGTGAAAGATGAAGATAAGTTTGGGGTAATCAGTCCCTGAAGGAGTCCAGAGTACATACTTGAGTTGGTCTGCTTCGAGGTCAGCCTGTCTCCTGGCTCTTCTGTAGAATGGTGTCTACATCATCTCTGGCACCACCAAGCACCACCAACACGGTTCTCCATCACCCTCCCACTAGGAACGTCACTTTCTTTTCCACCTGAAATACAACCACATAAACATAACTCACGAAATCTAATAAGGCATGACTGCAAACAAAAAAACCCCCCCCACCCGCGATCGGGTGAGGTTTAAAACAAATGCAAAGTGAGTTTTAGGACTTACTGTTTAGGGGGTTTAAAAAATAGGTAGAACCTGCAACTGCTACTGGGCCCATTCCAGGGAGATTCCTTCTAAAACCCAAACACACTAGCAAAAATATCAGCCCAAGATATATAAAGCTTTTTATAACCAGATTAGCTCATGTGCCCAGTCCAACTCAAATCCAAACCTCTCGCACTCATGTATTTTATTCTTAGCCTATATTTAAGTTCCAGTTTTACCTTAAGGCAAAACAATACAATACTGAGTACATACATTATTATAGATATCCTCTTGCAGGAACGAGGCTAAACAAAATTTCAATCGAGAAAACTGGACCAACATATTATTTTTTAAGTGCTTCATAAGCCGGGTTGTGTCCCTCCAAGGAAGAGAGGAGGAGAGAGAGAGAAGAGGAGAGAGAGAGATGAGAGCAGAAGAGACGAAGTGAGGATTGAGAAGAGAGAGGATCGAGAGAAGAGAGAGAGTGAGAGAGACTGAATGTGGGTGGGTATAAGAGCCGTCTAATAATGAGTGCCGTCTAATAATGAGTGAACACCATCCCACTCCCGAGTTCGTAGTGGATCGCCGGTCCGGGTCTTGTCCAAGTGGTGACCCGGCAGCTAACACTTTCAACCATAAATGGTTCACTGGGGGTGGACAACGAGCAGAGGGAAGCCTGGTGGTCACTGCTGGGGAAAACGTCATGGGTCGACGGGTTACCACACAGGTTTTTGTGTAATATACATTGACCGGCAAGAATATAATAACAAGAGGAACTCTTACTAGCATATCTTTGGACTCTGTTGTGCGCTGATCCTTTAATTGACAACGTTCCGCCCACCACAATGACTTTATCATGTCACAAACAGGATATCTACCTGAGCCAGAGAGTACGTGAGTATATATATAGGAGCATAGTGACGTGTAAAATTTAAGTGGAAAATGTTGAGAAGGTTGATTTAATTACATCCAATAATAAGGGTGTGTCAGGCTGACCTTTACCTTGATTTTATAGAGTAACCTTCTCTACAAAGTATATTTTTTTTGGGTAAAAACGGCGCCGAAAAGGACAACCTAGATCTGTTAGTACTGAAAAGTTTTTCGTGGTACGTGCTGTTTAATACTGGCTGTTTGCTCAAGTCAATTTAATCTTTTCGTTCCTCGTCTCTCTACGCCCACGGAAGAGACGAGGAAAAACAGTTATTTACGCCCACAGGAGACGGGAACAGTGATCTTACGGCCCACAGGGAGACGAGGGAAAACAGTTATCTCTACGCCCACAGGAGAGACGAGGAACTAACAGTTGTCTCTACGCCCACAGGAGAGACGAGGAACTAACAGTTGTCTCTACGCCCACAGGAGAGACGAGGAACAGTTATCTCTACGCCCACAGGAGAGACGAGGAACTAACAGTTGTCTCTACGCCCACAGGAGAGACGAGGAACCAAGTTATCTCTACGCCCACAGGAGAAACGAGGAATTAACAGTTATCTCGACGCCCACAGGATGGGTATGGGGTACATAATACAAATATATAACCAACTCTTGGTCTCTCCTTCCATCCCTGCTTACTCGTCAACTATACAGTGTGTAGAAGGCCTGAGCTTCTTACCACCTGCAGCTCATAAGACTGCCATCCCCACGAACCACTTTGAGGCGGGGCAGATGGCAGACCAGAGGCCTAGCTTCTCCCTACGAGCCCCGTGAGGGCGGGGACTGTGGCTAGGCCTGGGGACAGTTGGCCCCAAAGATGAGGGGGTACTTGTGCCTCCTCCCATGGATGACTTAGGTCTCGAGACACTCCCCAGATAAGGAGCTAAGGTCGGGTCACCACTACTTGGAAAAGACCCGGGCCGGGAGAATACCGGTGAATAAGAAAAAAATATATACAACCTGGCGAACAAGACATGTCCAACACCTGTCTATCTTAACTGGACATATCTCTTATTGATCACTATACAAGTAACAACTATTTACTACCAGTACATGTACAAGGTATACAAGTACATGTACAAGGTATACAAGTACATGTACAAGGTATACAAGTACATGTACAGGGTATACAAGCACATGTACAAGGTATACAAGTACATGTACAAGGTATACAAGTACATGTACAAGGTATACAAGTACATGTACAAGGTATACACAGTACATGTACAAGGTATACAAGTACATGTACAAGGTATACAAGTACATGTACAAGGTATACAAGTACATGTACAAGGTATACAAGTACATGTACAAGGTATACAAGTACATGTACAGGGTATACAAGCACATGTACAAGGTATACAAGTACATGTACAAGGTATACAAGTACATGTACAAGGTATACAAGTACATGTACAAGGTATACAAGTACATGTACAAGGTATACAAGTTACATGTACAAGGTATACAAGTACATGTACAAGGTATACAAGTACATGTACAGGGTATACAAGTACATGTACAGGGTATACAAGTACATGTACAAGGTATACAAGTACATGTACAAGGTATACAAGTACATGTACAAGGTATACAAGTACATGTACAAGGTATACAAGTACATGTACAAGGTATACAAGTACATTGTACAAGGTATACAAGTACATGTACAAGGTATACAAGTACATGTACAGGGTATACAAGTACATGTACAAGGTATACAAGTACATGTACAAGGTATACAAGTAACATGTACAAGGTATACAAGTACATGTAAAGGTATACAAGTACATGTACAAGGTATACAAGTACATGTACAAGGTATACAAGTACATGTACAAGGTATACAAGTACATGTACAAGGTATACAAGTACATGTACAAGGTATACAAGTACATGTACAAGGTATACAAGTACATGTACAAGGTATACAAGTGCATGTACAAGGTATACAAGTACATGTACAAGGTATACAAGTACATGTACAAGGTATACAAGTACATGTACAAGGTATACAAGTACATGTACAAGGTATACAAGTACATGTACAAGGTATACAAGTACATGTACAAGGTATACCAGTACATGTACAAGGTATACAAGTACATGTACAAGGTATACAAGTACATGTACAAGGTATACAAGTACATGTACAAGGTATACAAGTACATGTACAAGGTATACAGATCATAGCTGACATCAGTAACATACTATATACAAAAGTCCCTTGTTATGCTGAGCATTTCCTGCAAATTAGGTCAGTTTTGTCCCAGGATGCGACCCACACCAGTCCACTAACACCCGGGATGCGACCCACACCAGTCCACTAACACCCGGGATGCGACCCACACCAGTCCACTAACACCCAGGTACCCATTTTACTGATGGGTGAACATAGACAACCGGTGTAAAGAAACACGCCCAATGTTTCTACCCTCGCCGGGAATCGAACCCGGACACTCGCCATGTGAAGCGAGAATTTTAGCCACCAGGCCACGGGACACCGTCAATTATAAGGGATACTCACAAAAACTAATGAAAATATTATAGGTCGGTCAAAATTACTCCTGATTGGCGTATAATTTTATTTGCAATTAATGGTATTGTCTGAGTTAAATTCCATGAAGTTAACAGGTGTCTACGGCCTTCAGACCTCTGGTAATAACCTCCCACCTCGTACCTACCACACACAACTAACAACTCTATGTTGATAATTATCATTAACAAGAGAGCATGAAGGTAATGCTATCAACACAGCTAATTGTGTGGGTGTGGATCGCTTAATTATTAATATACTGCAAGAAGCCCTCCAGGTGTACAGCTTAAAAACTGGACACAACCTCGTCCACTAACTTATCTCTGCCAAGTGGCCTTATATGGCCGGGGGTCTAGCAGCTCATGTTGACGGTTTATGCTTGACATTGGGCGGTTATCTTTTATCCTACACTGGAATGCCTCTAGCAATACTGGTATTTTCTTACCCATTGACAATTGTGTCCACGTTATGCCTTCCAGCATGTCTGGAATGTCATATTTGCATAGCAATGTTTCCCAACATATGACTCACAACAGTTGGTTAACGCCCAGTACTTATTTTTACTACTGGGTGGGTCGAGACGGTGTTTACAAAATTATTCACAGATTTCGCCGGGCTCACAACAGTACCATTATCACAACTGAGAGGATGAGAACCTTCAATGATCCTCTTTACGTCAAGTGTTCTCTCTAGACTGGAATACTATTGTACAGTAACAACCAGTGGCAGCTCGTGTGGGGGTGCTGCGGAACTGCAGCACCCCTATTCTCTTTAATTCTTTGATTATTTAATGTACAAGTATAAAGAAAGAATTAAATAAAAAAAAACTCATACTGAATGTTATTAATAACATCGAGTGAAAATAGGGGGTGCTGCAGTTCCACAGCACCCCTTCACGAGCCGCCACTGGGTCACTAACAACTCCATTCAAGGCAGACGAAACTGCAGATCTGGAGAATGTAGAGAGAACCTTCACTGCGCGTATAAGTACGGTCAAGCATCTTAATTAATGGAAACGTATTTATGTACTCCTTGTAATGCAGGCGAAAAAGATGCATTATAATTTACACCTGGAAAATCCTAGAGGGACAGGTGCCAAACCTGCACACACAAACCACATATATGTATGTTAAATGATACTAAATTCAGTCTGGTCTTTGGTAGAATCTTTGATATAAAATGTACATGGAATATACGGTAATTTCAATATATTGGTCCTTTAAAAACAGGGGCCTTGATGCTGGTGAAGAGCTTTTGATATAAGGCATTGGAGTTACCTTTCATTCTTCCCATTATCAAAAAAACTGTATGACCTCCATACGAATTTTGGCCTTCCACTAAAATAATTATAATTCTATTATTGTTATAGTACACTAGATTAGTT